ACTACTATTATCACAGACAAGATGTTTCTAATTAAAGTTCTTTGTACGTCAAAACATCCGTAGAAAGTCGCACGTCAAATTAACTCTTTTAACCCTAAAAAAAAAAGGGAGGTTACCTTGTTGTAAATAACTTGCATTAGGGCAAGCCTGAAATAGGCTTTAGGCTCGTCAAAAATGAAGAATGTCGACCCATAGCTTCTCTCTAGCGCTCAACCAAGCTCCTGTCTCTTGACAAGTTGTAAAAGTACTTTTGAACACAATTACCATTTCAATGTTTTATGATGTAGCACTTAAAACAACACTTTCAATATTTTAAAAAAAATGTATCTTGGTTTTTGGTTCTCAATGGATCTGTAATTTAAATATTTAAATAATGTTAAATACTCCTGTTATTCGATGAAAGGGACCCAAGTCTTATGGTGTGAGAAACACTGCCGCCGCTAATAGTTTTTGTTTACAGGTAGCAAAATTGTAAATTACCTTGAACTCCTCAACCTTTCATTCTGACCTAGTTATTACGACTTCTAGGACGTCTCATATGTCAGCCTGCAGACAAGACTTACATAATACAACTGGTATGCGGTAGACTAACTGTCTTTATGTCTTTGTCCAAATAAGATGTGAAGTTATGTAAAATGGGTTTTAGGATTTATTAAAACACTGTGAGCTTTTTGACATTGTTGTTTCAAGTTGTTTTTACAGCTAACCCGTTTAGTTTAGTGTATTCTGTCTATCCATTTGTCTGTCTGTCAAGTTTAGATTTAAAAATCTGAAAGCGTTATTGAAAATCCCATTTCACCATTCTGTTGCATTCTTACAAAAATGTTCAAGGACTAGTTGTTTTTTTTTCTGAAAGGGATCCACTTTCTTTATAAGACTAAATATGCAAGATATTTTTATACTAATATACCATTTTTAAAACAAGTCTTAAGTATATGCAAGATGAACAGATTTGTTTAAAAAAATTAAAAAGTCATGAGGATAGTTATGGAGACCTGCTCAGAGCCGAGAAGCCTAGTGGAAACCAGTTGCACCAGACAGGACCACAGAGATTATGCTCCTCATAAATGTCCAGGAGGGACAACCAATGTTGTGCTTTAATCCTAAAGCTGATCAAAATCACGCTTTTGTTTTAAAATCTTTGTTAATCTTTCAGGCTTCCATTAAGGTACTTCTTCAACATTTAAATACTTAATAGTTAGATGAATTCGCAGCCGGTAAAATTGCTTCTGTCTATTGTATAGTTTTCCATGATAACAGTTTTCAAACAGATGTGAAGCAATAGTTATTAAAGGTTTGGTCCCTGTATAATGAGCAAAGTAAAGAAACAGGTTAGTGATGTCCAGTTTTCAACAGCGTTGACAGATGCTTCGAGCCCACAATCAAGTGAAATTGTCCCCGGCACCCTTCGCTGGAAAACTTTAAAAGAAAAACAAAAAAAGAATTCGTCGCTTTAGAATACAGAGAAATTCGGGCTATAGACAGACCAAGTGGTTAGCTGTGAAGCCTTGGGTGGAGAGACTATTTAAATTATATCCTACTTTGAAATCACATTTCTTTTAACCAGAGAAGTATCCCAACTGAATTTGTTGCTGCAGTTTCCATGCAGAAGGTCTACATAGTGTGTAAAATGTGTGCGTATGTGTACATTGTGATGTATTGCAATAACATCTATGTTATTGAAATATTACTAAAAAAAAATGTAAGCTTTTCTGTTTAGGTCTCATGATCGACATGTGTCCCGCTTTCGCTCCCCAAATATCTGGTCACCTTTAATATACGTATATACGTATATATATATATATATATATTTGAAATATATATATATACATAACCCCAGAGGGTTTTGACCGTACAACCTCACTCCAGAGGGTTTTGAGGTTAAAATCCCACCTTTTCAATATTAAACTAAAGTAAAATACAGTCGCCATATTCTATGAGCGTAACCAATGGAGGTTTTGAGTTAAATAAAAACTCCCCTTTTCGACAAAGAATCGAAAGCAAGTTACAATGACCAAATGGCCAAGAGAGGTTTTAAAGTCAACCTCCCCATCCTTCCAGCAAAAGGAAAAGCAAAACTACAATTAGTCAATTTCATGAGCGTAGCCAAAAGGGGTTTTGTTGTTTCCTTTCCACATCCAATAAAAAATAAAGCAAAAAATATAGTTACCATAATCTGGGCAACATTAATAAAGTGCATTAATTATACAGATTTGATTCTTGACCTACAATTTTTTATAGAAAAGTAGCAGGATAATACACTGTTGATACCTCATAATTTGCTTTTTTTTAGTTTTAAATACCGGAAATAATACTTGGCAAGGGTGGGGTGTCTACTAACTTTTCACTAACTAAAGGAATATATATCTCCCCAAACCCCCCACACCGCCCCCCCCCCCCCAAAAAAAAAAAATCCTGGCTATGCCCATAATATATATCCACATAGGGCATGTCATATTATTTGTGTACGCCTAATTCTCTTCAAAATATCTAAAGTTGGATAATGCATCACAAACTGGATGCATTCTTGCGTTGGATTACGTAATGTGCTTTACGCCGTCTGAAAACTAATAATAGTACATTAGCAGACTTAATGAGTTTGAAATTCTTTAAGTCTGTAAGACGTTGGTTTTCCTGGCTGACTCAGACAAACCCATTCCACTTCAAGATTAGAGAAAACAGAGAGGTTAGAATATCACTTACTTAATGTGGAACGCTCTTGCTTCGTCCTAGCAAATTCACAAAAATCGCGAATTTTATTTGAATATATCATGACCCATTATTTACAATGCCGGATTTAACTATGTTGAGGCCTCTACACTTTTTCAAAAGCTTTAATAGAAATCCACTTATGAATAAAAAATACTTATATATAAAAACATGCTAAATTTGATCTCACTTTCCATTTTGTTTTAAATTTAATATGCATATTTTAAAAAGAATATAATTTTGAGTTAGTGGAGGATAAGCAAGTAAGTCGCACTGCCATAACACAGGAGCTGCATTCATATATTACGAGCATGCTACAAGGGTCATTTCTTTATCACAACAGTGCTGTCGACGTAAGATTTAAAATGTTAAAAATGAGGAAAAAATACTTAAAGTTTCTGACACATTAAAATTCCGATTTATATTACTCTTTTGTGGAGGCCCCTTTCTTGTGTAGTTTCCGGGGCTGTAGCCCCGCCTGGCCAACCTTAAATCGGCCCTAATTTTTTAAAATATAATTATAAATCTCCTTTCAATAAATATCGGATTAGACAGCGCTATATGAAACCAGATCATTATTATAAGAATTTCGTCATTAATAACTTCATACTAAGTATTAGTTAGCCATTTATCTACAACTAGCTGGAGCTGGATATGACCCGCGGCCTGCGTGCCTTAGTTTGGGTATTACTGATCTGCTGGATTAAATTTAGGTCTAATGTCAAACTTGGCGATTGTTCCCTTAAAAAAAAAATTAAAATATATTTTGCCTCGAAAATGAAAGAGTGTGAAAGTGGGTTTACATGTTTATCCGACATATTGATATCTAATTTGAAATACCCTGAAGACGGGCTTACACGATATGTTGAAAAGTTTCGTTCTTTAATAGAGATAAATTTAGGTGTTTTTTTTATTTTGTAGGACCTTCCGGTTGTGGGGGGACATTATATATATCTCCTACGGTCTCAGCCATGATCAAAGGAACATTTATGCCAAGTTTTATCAAGATTGGTCAAACGGTTTTGGTTTCTATTCGAGAAATTGCTGATTATATATTAGATAGCTAAATTTAAAACATATATGAACAATTTTGGATTTAGATCTAGATTGTTTTTTTTAAACATAAAATATTATTTTTTTGTTTAGCCTAAAGTGTATTATTTTAAGATCTATGTTATTAAACTATAAACAAAAAGAAAGCTTACTATTTTTTTTACTACTCGCAAAAAGAAGGACTCTATACCCATATTGAGCTGGTTTACTATTTCGTTGCTGTGTGTTAATTTCTAATAAATATTGTTAAAGAGCTAATTGTCGCCCCTTTTTTTCCCTGCGTTATATCAATGTTCTCAAACTTAACCTCTCTCATCCATCTTTTTCATTAACACTTTCAATGGAACTATCAAAAGACAGGAGAGGAAAGGGGCAAAAAACAAATGGGAATGCCATCAAACGTCCATGCCAACCATGCTCACACATAGAAAAAAGTACGGTCTTACGTTGTGTACATAATAATAAGTGCAGTGTGTAGTGTCAAGTTTTTTATATTCTTGTTGAATTTTAAAAAAAATTAATTGTGTAAAAAAAGAAAATGTGTTCGGGCATCTGTTTCTTGCTGCTGTCACTTTTTTAGAAAAATCGGCATCATATAGCCAGTCCGCCCCTGTATATATTTATATGGTTTCGGAAGGTTGTCATTGCCGGAAGTGGTAATGTATATAAGCAATCCAATACCTATAAAATGCTTCTTAATGGCATGAGGCTCTAATAGTCTCTGACAACTAGTCCACAGCTTCTGACATTAACGTCATGTAATCAAATTTGTACTAGATCTAGATCAACATTAAATCTGAGCGATTAATAATATTTTACCAATTGTTTTTGTTTAGCGCTATTTTATGTATTTAGCTTTCTCACTACGCTATGATCCTTTCATTTGTCTGGACCAGTTGAAAAATGGGGGTTGGGGAAGAGAAATAAAAGGATCTCTGGGTGGACGTTACCATAACTGTTTTTTTTAAAGCATTTACAAAAAAAAAGGGGGGGGCGGGAGGACGACCTGAATTCAAACTCATGCTTCTCGGCATATTGACAATGTAATGATGTTCGCTTCCCTAACGAGTCACGAAAAGCGTGTAATATTTGTATGTGTGTGTCTGCGCGGGTGTTTGCTTTGAAAGATGGTATTTGTCAACGGTTTAGGTGTAGATAAGAAATGTTCTTCAATATTTTCCTAAGCCAAGGGAAGTAATAGTGACATTTTATTCACAATAAGTTTTATTAATTATTTACCCTACTATTTCAAAACAACAAAAGTTCCAAGTTATCCTAGTATTTTGTTAGACATAGAAACGTGCTGGTGGCAGCTGTAATGTGTCAACACTGGTCACTTTTTAGTGGGTTGAACCTATCCATTACAGGGCGCGCTTCTTTTAGTCTGCATGAGTGCACCCTTGTCCTTATGGCAAGGGTTTTATTTTTCATGGTACTCGCCACTCTTGCCTCTAGCAAGAGTTTAAAATTTGCATTGCAATACTCTTATAAAAGCCAAACTTAGTCAGTAGCGCTATTAAACGAAAGTCCAAGTTGTAGAGCCTCATTTTAGCTGGAGAACAAAAAGAATCAAGTCAATCTTTTTGACAAGGTATGTTTAGGGTTTAAATTCATTTCCTGAACACATAATGGACAGAAATGCACTGACGATAAAAAGACAGACCTAAAGATTTCACTAACCAACATAAAAGACTTGAGAAATAAGAAAACAAGAATTCGATTGTGTGTAGACTGTAGACGTGAACTTAAGATTCCAGATTTTTTAATCCAATCTTTATCGCGATGATGTTTTCGTTGCCTAAAGCTAGAACAGATTCTCAAAGGAGATTAGACCAGAGCGCACTAATCACTATGGATACACTTTTGGCGGTCTCAAAATCTCTTTTAAGCGCCTTGAGTATGAAAATCACCGTAATCATATTTGATTTGTCAATATATTTGCTTCAATCTGCAGTTTCGTTTAAAAAAATCTATGCTAGTTCATATGTAAATTACTGATAAGTACTAATAATAGCACGGCCAAAAAAAATGGAACGAGTATTTAATTGGGGAAATAAACAGATGTCTTAATCTAAACAAAATATAAACTGGGTAATACTTTTTTTTTTACCTTCAAAACATAGATCTAGGGGAAATTTAAGTTATCTAATAATCGAGTGGAAGAACTCGTGTGAGACTTACTTATTACTTAGAACTTGCGTCACATGCAGCACCAAGTCCCATTGGAGTTTTTTTTCGTATCAAACGCTAGGGGGTTATTACACCAAAGAAAATTCAGAATTGAAACCTTGAACAGGATACAAAATCAAGACCTTTTGGTCAATGCGTTTCTGTTTTCAATAAGAATACGTATGTAATGAAACAGAAAAGAATTCAATAGTTAGAGAACCATTGGACAAAAACTTGAGAAACTTCAGAAAAGAAAGTCACTTGCTATTTACAGAAAGTCAATCAAACTATATAAGATTAGGATGTGCCATGCATTGTTATAACCAGTTCACTGGGTCTCAATAGTTTCAACTTGATAAGTTAGTGAACGTTTAAAAAAATGTGTTGCGATCTAAAGATTCACAGAAGCTTTTTTTTTGTTTGTTTGTATGAATGTGTGCCTACAAACTTTTATAATTTTAAATTATCTGTAATATTTTGTCAAACTAAAACTCTGTTAAAATGTTAGCAATTAATAACTCAAACACATAAATTTACCATTACAAACTATTGAATGACAATAAATAATATACCACATATAGCATATCATCCAGGTATAATATCCCAAGTATAACATCCCAAGTATAACATCCCAGGTACATCACAGCATCCCAGGTATATCATAAAATGTCAGGTATATCGTAAGATCTGAGGTAATACAAAACTTCCAAGGTGTAACATAATATTACATAACATCCCAGGTATAACATGAAGTCTATAATAAAAGAAATACATTTATTATATATGCTAAACTGTGCTGACTCCAAAAATGTCTTTATGTACGTTAGTCTGTGGCCACCACCGTTCAGCCCATGTAATAGTAATAATTGTCTGGAAGCTCGACGTATGTAGCAAAAGGCAGTGGGCTGTAGGGCGGAACATACGGCTGACTGTACGGCTGCTGGATGTACGGCTGCTGACTGAATTGCTGCTGGTTATACGGCTGCTGGTTTGCTTGTTGCTGGTTGAACGGCTGTTGGCTGTACGGCTGTTGGTTGGAAGGCTGAGGGTTGGAAGGTTGACTGTAATGCTGATATCCACCTACAGGCGGACTCTGGTATGGTCCATAGTAAAGTGGTATAAAGTTATCACTAATCTTTTTCAATTCTGAAAGAAAGAGAATAAAAGATTAAAAGAAAAAACATTTTCAGGAATTCCATCAGTTGGAGGCTCACAGAGCAGAGACTTCACGAGTCTGAGTCATTTACTTTATCATATATATGTTTGTATGGGTTTACATTCTTATATGTAAACAAAAATTGAATTCAGAAGATTTCATTGTGTATAATTCTAAATGTGTTTCATTATTGTTTTGCGAATAGTGAAATTCTTGAGTCCATAATGTAAAAATAATTCAAAAAGTCTGAATAAGTTTAACGATGTGTGAAACAGTGTGATAAGCTCAATGCAGTTTTCAGGCGTCAAAGGACCAATGGACTTTTACATTTTTAATATATAGGCCTATAACATGTTGGAAAATAAAAGACCTCAACAAAACAATTATCTTTTAAAGTTTTAAAGTGTGTAAGCACATAAGTATGTTATAATCACAAATCCTGAGGTGGACAATTGTAGTCAAACTGAATTTCCAATAGTTTGGACCAATAAAATTAACTTAAGGATGTCCTCTCATGTTCTCGTTCAATGTGTAAAGATGGTAAAATCAATGCAATACTTTGTTACCTAAGTTCTTCTAATAAAATGTGTGAGCACACACAAACGCACACACACAGACATAATGCTAGGTACCTATATAGCTGATTTCGAGCACACATGGAACAAAATGATCTAATAAATTCTAGGCAAAGAAAATATAGAGGGACCAAAGCAGCTTTTTGAGTCGCATGCCAGTGTTAATATTTGAATATATCAGATAGGAATACCAAAGGTAGCTGTCTGTTGTTGCTATTTTATATACATCTGATGAGACAGTGAAATTTTAAAGAATGCTTGGCGGGACGCTACAATGCAGGTGCATAATGGACAGTGTAACCAACTGATCAACTTATAGAGAACTCTAGGGATCTAAACCCATACCTACCAAAAGCTGAAATAGCACAAAAAGAGATCAACGCGATGACAATGGTCCAAGATGACGTCATCTTTTCGTCTTATCAGAACCACAAAGTTTTGCTTATTGACAAAGTTCTTGAACCTGGTGACAGCAACATAAAAGTGACACATTTCGGAATCCTAAACAAACGTGTCAGACATTGGAATGACTTTAAATTTATCTAATAAAAATATAAAAAAATTTACATATGCTTACATTAAATAGACTGTCTTGTAAAGTGGTAAGGTATAATACAAACAATGACGTTTGATTAATTTCCTAATAGGACCTAAAAATCAAATCTTTTGTTACCCTTTAACTCACTACTTACTCATTACGAAAATAATGGCCCTTTGATTTAGTCTTTACAAAGCTTATATCAACTCACTCTGACTGTCTGTTTGTCTCTGGTAAAAAGAGTGTACACCTTATTTCTCCGAATTCCAATCTCGGGTCAAGCTGAAATTTTGCACAATTATTTCTTATACCTGACAACACAAAGAATTAAAATTAACCAATTAGCTAATAACTATTAGTAATTAATTATTTTGTTTGGCATCTCAAACGAGAGAAAGAAATTGTACTTGAATGAATGGTGATATAAGCTGGATTATATCCCTTTATAGGTTGCCTCTCCAAATTGAAACAAACAATACATAACTATACAATCTTTTCCAGTCATAAGTATCAGTCCTAAGTACATCACTAGCAGAGATGTTTGCTCGTCTGCCCGAGGAAGAGAGAGCCACGAGTTCGAATTCAGGTCGTTCCCATCTTTTTTTTTTTTTTTTTTTTTTAAACCAATTACGGTAAAATCCAACCAGATACTCCTTTCTGTCCCTCCCCCATCTTACCAACTGGTCCAGACAAGTGATAGGATCATATCTTATTGAGAAAGTTAAAAACAGAAACAGAAAGTTAAAAGCATGAAATTGATCTAAATAAAAAACAATTGGTAAAAAAATATTTCTAATAGCACAGATTTATTATTTTTAGTCTGGGGTCTAGATCTACTACAAATTGTAAATACTAATTTCCCCTTTCAGACCTATATCTATAGGACAGATGATGTAAACGTAATCTGTTTCTGTGGCCCACGGTTAACGAGGGTGTCATGTGACCAGCACAACGACCAACCGCCTTTAATTTTCGCCAATGTCAGGTACACATTAAAGCAGGGTGGACTCACAGTCTCCCAAAGATCTTGAAATAAAAAAATCCCAGTCTTCACCAGGATTCGAATCCGGAACACAGATATCAATATTTTCAGAAAGAACATCAGAATTAAACTCTATCAAAGATAAATGACAGAGAAGAATGGAGAAAGAAGGTTAGCAGATCTTGTGTGGTGCCCCAGCGGTCCAGCAGACCAAAGGATAGGTGAAAGTAGATGTGATGTTAAATGCGAACCTTGCCTAACTGATGTTTTATAATGAATAATTGTTTTGTAAAGGGCCACAATCTCTTATTCAAATCCTCAATAGAAGAAAAAAACATTTTCGTAAAAAAAAAACATTCCTTTACCTGAGTGTTCTACACTGCTGCAAGTGCACTGCAGTTCACGTGATAATATGAAATCCTACTTTTTAATTGTTGTTTTAAATTATGTCCAACTTATATGCATATCAAATAGATTTTTTTCTCTTAAAAAATGTAAACATTATTTTTGGGTAAATGTAGTAGTTAGTAAGACAGATCTTACATAAAGTAGCAATAAAATGTAAAAAAAGTATTTTTAAACAAAAAACTCAAAACCATTTGGACAAATAAGTTAAAAATTTGAAAAATAGTAATCTCCCCTACTAAAAAGCCTTCCGTGTTTGTTACTATTAATAGTAAATAGTTATAAAAGTGGTGTATTTTTTATGAAAAAAAAACTGCTTGCATAATTGATTTTAAAAATTAGATTTTTAGAAAAGAAAAAAGTAGCCGTTTCATCAGTACTTTGAATGGACTAAAATATTATGTTGTCGGATTTTCACTACCATTTCTAGTTTGCGAGATCTAAACGGGACGGGCAGACGGACAGACATTTCACACAAAACTAATAGCGTCTTTTCCCCATTCGGGGGCCGCTAAAAATCAAGTCAGGAAAAGGAAGAAAAAAAATGTTTGATGCAAATATTTCTAAGCCTCAGTTGAAGCGATCTTCACATGCGAGCGCCACTATGAATAAAGATGTAGGTAAAAAAATTTAAATCATTTGTACACAGTTTATATCAACACTGTCTGTCTGTCTTTCTGTCTGTCTGGTAAAAAATTTGAACACGTTATTTCTCCCACACACATTTTCGGATGAAGTTGAATCTTTGCAAAATTATTCAATTAATTTATGAATTAGTGGTTATTAGTTATTTTGTTTGATACCAACAAGTGAAAATACCAACAAGTGAAACTAATCCTTCAGTATTGAAACATATGTTTTAAAATACCGGGTTTGTTCATTTAAATAATTGCACACGTTATTTCTCCCACACCCACTCTATGATTAAGTTGAAACTTTATACAAATATTTTTGTACCTTACAAAACATGAATCAATTTAAAAATTAGCCAATCAGTCAATTAATGAATGGAAATTAATTATTTTGTTTGAGATCGTAAAAGAGAATTAACTTCTACATTCTTGAGTGATATAGTTGTAAGTACATAGTTCTTCCCCTTAGATAAGCTTTTTTTAAAAGATATTTTATATTTTGCTTGTTGGTTTCTTTGTTTGCGTGTTTCTTTAAATATGTTTTTGATTGAACATAAAAACATAAACCAAGAAACAATCTTAAAGAAAAAAAATGTTGTTCCACTCCTTATTATGGTGGAGAATGTTCAACAAACAAACTCAACACTCAAAATCAACACTAAATATCCTTATAGAGAAATACAGCATCCAATATAAAACTATACAGTGGATGTCATGTTTCACCATCAATGTGAAATCCGATTCAACTCACTTAATACACGCATAGAATCTGTTTGAGTGAGTTCAGATAAATATTGAAGGTATTCACAAAAAGTCAGAATGTCAAATACGTTGATCTTATCTGCTACACCCATTGAGTATATTTATACCAGCCCCGAGAGGGCGTGGCTGGGCAGTCTCCCAGGTGGCAAGACTGCAGACGTTGTTGCTGTCATAGTTGTTGAAACAAACAAAAACTGTCAAGAATCTAATTATCATAATGTACTTGTCTACATGAGGGATCGCCGATCATTTTTAACAAGTGACCCTATTTCTCAAGAAAATGTATACGCCTAGATTTACTTATGCGTTGAGAGCTACTTTTTAAAAAAAAATCAAAAAAGCAAAGAGATTTCAAAAAAAAAAAGACAAACAAGCTCTGAAAATAGACTCGGCAAACTGAACTGACTTGGGCCCAAACCTTCTTGTGCCCCCTCAGTGACAAGAGTCCAAGATTTGCTACTGAAATCAAATTTTAAAAACAACCAAACAAAAAAGACGACTGCTTATAGCACTGAACTATATAATATATTTAGGTCTGTGGGTTTTACTGTAGCATGTGCTTGTTTCCTATAGATGTTTTTTAATGAAAAAAAGAAAAGTCGGTTGTTGTATTACCGAAATTTCAGATATTTGTAATAACATGGTTGAAGTGACTCACTTTATCGAATGACATAACTATAATTCAAGGAGTGCTGATGGTTTGAGAATAGTTTTGGTTTCATAGGCTTACTATCGGTGTGTATTTACAAATATGTGACTATCCTACGTATGTAGCTACTTGTTCTGTT